GACCCTTGTCGAACATCATTCAACTTTCTTGAGATCTCGTGAACAGCTAAAAAAGGTTGAAATATTTTTTCACTTTTTGCTAATAAACTCTCATGTTGTCGAATAGCTTGAACCATTTTTTCATTACTAGGAACAAAGAGAGCAATAAGAATGAAGAAGATTAAGTGAAAGAAATTCATTTTTGATTGTTTTTTTTTTTCGATGAATGGTTCTTAAATAATAATTATTGTAAATGTGAACTTAATAAAGTTTATATGGTATATATGGAAAAAATCTTTGAAGATTAACTTACTATAAATTCATAAATTTTATCTACAAATTCATCATGGAGATTTGAAAAGATTTTGCAGTACAAATTTAATTTTTTTCCTAATTAATAAATGCAGTATTATGCTCCACATATGTAAAATCTTTTTTATAAACCCAAATTATGTTAATCTAGTTATAAATTTGGGTTTATTGTTTAATTTCACTTTTAAAAACTCTGAATATTTATCTTCATCATAAGAATTGCAAGATTCAATGCATTCAATCGAGTGTAAAATATTTTACAGACAATTTAATAGATTTGATTTCTTCATTTCTGTTATTTTCTAGAGTCGAGGATCTGTCATAAAGCCTACCGGACTAAGCATTAGAAAATAAGACCAAAAAGGTGAAAATAATTTTTCCCCTTTTAACATCACCTTACAAATCAAATTCTACCTCCAATGTTATTTTGTTTCCATTTTTATATTATTAAAAATATTATTTAAGGGGGAAATAAACAACTTTTATATGACGCCAATTTGAATTAGTCTAAATCCAATGCGAACTCACGGAATATATATAAAAAAGTTGTAACATATTCAGTTCAATATAATTCTTGTGTTCTTTAATTTAGAGGATGTGCTATTATAATAAACATTGATATTAATGCTAAAAAACATTAAAACTTGAAAAGATAATCGATTACAATTTTACTACTATTAAAATGTATACAATAAAGTCTTCATATTAATGACATTTAAAGAAATTAAAAGGTCCACCATACATTAACGTTACATCCTACAATATATAAATATGAAATCTTCCTTCCAAATTTTCATCAAATTCCAAATCCTCTAAACATGACTTATGTCTATGCTTATGCACTTATTTTCTTGTGTATATCGATCCAAGTTTCTCCGAGCGTCTCACAATTACTAGGAGGAGGAGGTCTTTTACCAGGTTTAGGTGGTCAGGTCGATAATGGTCTTTTTCCGGATATCTCCACATGCTTAGCATCAGTGTTAAACGTTCCTGGATGTGTTGAAGAGATTATAACATCTTTCCTAACTATTCGACTTCGATTAATTGGTCCTCAATGTTGCAAAGCTGTATTAGACATTCATGATAGTTGTTGGCCTAAGATTTTCCCTTTTGGTTCACTTTTTCCTTTAACACTTAGAAGCTTTTGCCCCATTCAAGGTTCATTACCACCAACATCCCCTCAACCTCTAGTTCCAAATAATGGCGTAAAAATTGTACACGAAATTAAGAACTAGGTTTGTTCAATTATCGTCCTTGGAATTCTTTCTGGTCTAATAAATGAGTGGCGATGAAATTTGCACCTAGGAGATTCTGTTTTTAGTATAATGTTAAATTGTGTGATCATTTTTCGTTTTGTGTTAGATATATATTGCACATGTTGTAACACTTGTTACTACAAGTGCTTTATTCAAATAATAATAACTATAGCTACACAATTAATATGTACAATTTTGATTGTTGTGAGAAAAAAAATTACTTCAATGTATATTTATTTCATTCTAATCAATTTTGAATGAAAACAAATAAGACGTAATTAGTACTCCTATTAGATAAGGAATGATAAGTAACAACCCTTATAATTAGCCTATTTTGATTCATTAGTCTCCTAATCAAAATCTAATTCCTCAAACACACGGTTGTCTCTACAGGTTATTATATGCGTTTAATAGATTTATCGTTTTCCGTGACGACACACATGAAGAATTTGAATGATAAACCAACTCAAAAAATAAAATATGATTATTACTAGAAATGTACTCGAAATTAAATAGGTGTTGATTATTTTTTTAATGTTTATGAAACTCTATGTCCTAATAGAATTGGGATAGGAATGTATTGTTCTTTGGGATTATTCGGGATCTATACATGTAGTTGGGATTCTAAATCATTGTAGCTTTTTTTTTTCTTTCATAGAAAACTTTCTCTGCTTTTGCTTGGAGGATTAAGCCTAGCCGAATATCGTCAACCTTTTTGTTCAAAGGAAGTGACAGTCATGAACCCTCGAAGCTCTAATCTTTTCAAGGGAGATTGCAAAGGAAGAACAATCTCTCATGTCACTACGATTATGGACCTTTCGAGGGATATTATGTCAGAAATTCTTTCGAGATTATCAATTAAGTCAATTTTTTGTTGTAAGATGGTTTGTAAATTGTGGTATAATCTTTTAACTTCGGACTCATTATTTTCTAACATGTATCACAAAAGATCATCATCTAATTTTCCTTGCCTTTTGCTTTCAATTGGTTACCCTGTCCAGTTTCTTGTGGAACTCAAACCAGATGATCCTTACCCCCTAAAGAGCACCATTGCGTTGAGCCCTAAGTTTCATCTCCCTTTACCTGACATGAGATTAATCGGTTCATGTAATGGGTTCGTTTGTTTGTTGAAAGGTTGCATATATGACTTAGACCATTCGGTTTACATTAGCAATCCTCTTTTGGGTGAGTATTTCAAGGTTAAATTGCCTAAACGGAAGAAAAGAATTTGTGTTGCTTATGCATTCTGCTTTAGTGAAGTCTCTAGGCAGTATAAAGTATTGAGATCAGTAGTTAGTAATTTTGATAGACATCCACAAGTATCAGAATTGGAGGTTTATACTCTTGGAGTTGATAAAAAATGGAGATATGTGGGTGAGGCTCCACAACCTCTATCCATAACATTTAGTAAGGCTAACGTCAATGGTGTTGTTCATTGGATGAATTCGGGAAAAAATGACAGCATTTACTCCTTCAACAGTTGGACAGAAGAGGTGAAGTCCTTGTTAGCTCCGCGTGGTCTGAAAACTCCATCCTACAAATTGGTGCTAGTAGAGTTGGGGAATTGTCTATGTTTGTGTAATCCTAACGATAGTGAGTATGTTGATATATGGTGGATGAAAGAGTATGGAATAGCTGAATCTTGGACTAAAACTCGCATTTTGAAGGATACTATTCAACCAAATACCCGTTGGGATAGATTTATACCAATCTCAACTTGGAAAGATGGAGAAATATTGATGCAAAGGTATAGTGGCACACAAGTAGTTTCTTACAACCCAAAAGAAAAGAAGTTTACGAAGGTTAAAGTGTACCCTGGACATGTAGCGGCTAGCTACAACCCAAGTTTTTACTCACTCAAGACTGTCATTGGAGAAAGTTCTCAAGTCTCATATGTTTATCGAAGATTGACATAGTTTAGATATTTAATTAGTCTTGTTTCCTCCTGGATATTATGTTTTTCTTCTACGTTTCTCATGTAATCTAGCTTTAGACCAGTCGACTTCTAATGTCTAATGGATGCTTTTGAGTTTTGGTAGTACAACTCTGCCTCTATAAGCAGAGCATACCATGTTCATTTTAACGTTTCTAGTCTATTTGCAATGTGAAGTCTCCAAAGTTGCATTCCTTACGTTCAATTTACTTTGCACTTGTTACCAGACTAGCCAACTTAGGTGCCGATTTTGATTTATATAGCTTACTAGATATTGGCGCTGTCTAAATCACGGAATTAGTCTAAACCAAATCATATTTGAGGCTAGTAGGCAGAGGCGTATCTAGAGGGGGTGTAGTGGGTTCACGTGAACCCATGCTCCCCTCTCTATATCATATATAGTAGTGTTATATTGTTTTTTAAAAATTTAAATATAGATGTGTGAACTCATGTTCAAAGTATCATATAATAATGCGATGATGATTGAGTGCACTTCTCTAAGTGAGGATAGAAATTTAAATCTTATATCTATCTTGTCTCTTTGAGTAACACTTTTTCAAGTGGTTATCAGTTACACTTTTGTCGTTTCAACTAATTTTTTTTTTTTTTCGTTATTCTTTCAAAATTTTCAAATGTGTATCATTGAGAATTCCTAAAAAATTTAGCATTGTAATTTTTTTATATAATTAAATCAAATGTGTATATTAAAATTTAAAACTAGTAGTATTATATATTTTGGACCTATAATTTTTAAACTTTAATGGTTCATATTACGAACTAAAAGTCAAATCGATCAAATTTATATTTAAGATACATTTTTTCATAATCGTGCAACCATCTAACCGAAATTCTGGATACACCTATGCTAGTAGGGTAGGGGAATTACGTATGGATGAAAGAGTATGGGATTACAGAATCTTTGACTAAAGACAGCATTTTGGTGGATCTATTCCGCCTGGTATGGATAACTATAATTTTGAACTGTTAATAATTTGGAAAGATGGAAAAATCTTGATTCAAAGTCGCACAAAGCTAGCTTCGTACAGCCCAGAAAAAGAAGAAGCTCAGGGTGGTTAATGTTTTCCGTGATGTTACTGCAGTGACTAGATACATCCCAAGCTTTTACTCGCTCAAGACTATCATGGGGGATGACTTTCAACTCAGAAATGTTTATCCAAATAGTGAGATAAACATTTCTGAGTTGAAAGTCGTCCCCCATGATAGTCTTGAGCGAGTAAAAGCTTGGAATGTATATAATCGCTGTAGTGACCTCACCGTAAACATTAACCAACCTGAAACTCTTCATTTTTGGCTTGTACGAAGCTAGTTTTGTGCGACCATGAATTAAGATTTCTCCATCTTTCCACATAAGTATTGGTTCAAAATTAAAGTCAACCATACCACGCGGAATATAATCCACCAAAATTCTGTCATGCTTGCCAATCAAGTCCATTTTCCGTTGTAAGATTGTTTGTAAACTCTGGTATCATCTTTTAACTTCCGACCCTTTATTTGGTAAAATGTATTACAAAAGATCATCTTATTTTCCCAGCATTTTGCTTTCGATAAATGACTCAGTTCGGTTACTTGTGGAACTCAAAGATGATGTTACTCACCCCCTAAACAGAGCCATTATGTTGAGCCCTAGGTTTCACCTCCCTTCCCCCACTTTATATAAACAAAACTTGAGATTAATTAGTTCATGTAATGGGTTCATTTGTTTATTTAATGGTTGGAGGAATACCGTAGAGCATTCAGTTTACATTAGCAATCCTCTTTTGGGTGAATATTTTGAGGTTAAATTGCCCGAATGGGAGAAAAGAATTCAGCGCGTTGCATATGCATTCTGCTTTAGTGAAACCTCTGGACAGTATAAAGTATTGAAATCAGTAGTTAGTAAGCTTGAGGGATGTCCACATGTATCAGAGTTGGAGGTTTATACTATTGGAGTTGATGAGAAATGGAGAAATGTGGGTGAGGTTCCAGAACCTCTATGCAGATCATTTTGTAAGGCTAACGTCAATGGTATTGTTCATTGGATGAATTCAGAAAAAAATGACAGCATTTACTCCTTTAACAGTTGGACAGAAGAGGTGAAGTCCGTGTTAGCTCCGCGTGGTCTGGAAACTTCATCCTCCTGCTTGACACTAGTAGAGTTGGGGAATTGTCTATGTTTGTGTGATACTAACGATTGTGAGTATGTTGATATATGGTGGATGAAAGAGTATGGAATAGCTGAATCTTGAACTAAAGATCACATTTTGAAGGTGTAACATCCGACAATTTGAAATAGCTAAGAAGAGGCTTAGAATTTGAAAATTTACATTTTGGAAAGGATTTGAAAATCTGGAAAATTGGCTAAGTGTGGAAATCAGTGATTTTTGGCCAACTTTGAGCAGTCATAACTTCCAGCTCAGAATGATTTAGAAGTAGTTCCAGTTATGGTTGTGAATCTTGTGGAACGATCTTTCCAACGCCACTGAGTTTGCTCGATTCCGAGTTCGTATGAGTGAGATATGCCCTTTGAAAGTTGGGCAGTTGACAAGGAAATCCGTCCGGGAATCATTAAGGGCATTTTAGTCTTTTCCCTAGCCAATTCTTTTGGGATTATATTGTTGTATAGGGCTGATCTTTGGATCATTTTGTTCCATTTTTTAAGAGAGTGAAGGCTAGGGCTTGGGAGTGAAGAAGAGAAGAAGAAGATAAGAAGAGAGGAAGAAGAGAAGAAGGAGAAGGAGAAGAAGAAGGGA